CCTAGATAAATTTATAATATAATATAGCAAAGACAATATTTTATTATCATTAGGCCACTCCAATTAAATTCATAGTTTCTCCTTACACTTGCAGCACTGGTGCGGGCGGGCAGTAAGTTAATTTTGATTATAAATTTTGATTAAAATAATAATAAAGCTTCAACAAAGTAGCAACTATACCTGATTCCTTGTTCATCAATGAACTAGAGAGTGGTGAAGAGCTCAGTTATTCTTTAAAAAGAGTGAAAAGAACCTCAAAAGACTCGTATATTTACATTATTATTATTTTTAATATTTTAATTGAATAATTAAAATATTGGCGCGGGCGAGCGGGCGGCAAGGAGAAACTACAAATTTAGTTGGAGTGGCCTTATAAGAATAATCTCATTAGCATTATATGCAAAGCATTTGATAGTTGTAATGAAGATGATTTAACAAACAATAAAAAAACTAAGCAGAACTAGAGGAACACACACACACAAATCACAACAAAGTGAGCATGGCATACCCATTAGAATTATACTTATATAAAACAGTCACTCTATTACAATAGCGGCCACTCATCTGTTACAGATCCCATCATTAAAATTTGAGTTACAGTTTAAACATTAATCAAAACAAGTGTATACAATACACAATAGCATTAACTACATGTATAGCAGACAATATTGCTAAAGTTTTAATATAGTATAATTAGTATTACCTCTTCGTCCTCATGTGCATCATCATCATGCAAATTTTTCTGTGGACCAGAGCATCCCTGTTGTACAGGTTTAGGTTCATCAATTGGCATATCAATAGCTACATGTACATCAGGTAATGATTTTTTAGATATCAGTATCACTTGTCTTCCACCCATTTCAATCTCTACACAATAAAAACAATACAATAATAGAATATTTAGTGACATATTGTACCTGGTTCTAAACCAATTATTTTTTCATTATGCTTAGCTTGTCTCCTACATATCAATCTTAGATGTATGAACAAGGTTACCATGACCACTACTGATATTATCAATAAAAAAGCAAGAACCACTAGAATATAACGCACGTGAATCACAAATTTTTTGACCTATAATTGTTTCGTATCAGAGTAATACATGTATTTCATTCATACCAGGTAAAATACTACTGCCGGTTTCCTCAATAATGTCAGTGGGAGATGGTGATCGAGACATAGGAGTACCAATTATAGTAGAAAAGACTGAATAAACAGAATCAATGGTGCTACCTATAATAAATAGTAACAGTTCTAAAAAATTCCATTAAAACTAAAACTTACTAATGAAAAGCATGCCAGGAGCAATATTCACATTTTTGGGTTGCACGCAAGCCCATGGTACAATGTGCCCATTATCACTAATGTCATAAGCAGTTACATTGTATACTCCACTGGTTGATAATGGTATCAGTGTGCTATTGCCTGATCCAGTTATATTAAAGTGTTCAGTCCTTCCATTACTAGTATCAGTAAATATCACATGACATCCATCAGCAGTTGATCCTGATACAAACACACACTGTACACTAACTGATCCATTCCCTTCAGTAGATACTAGCAGATCTTGTACATTATATGTAGCTTAAGATAAGACAAGAGGATGTTGAGTTAAAACAATTAAGCATAAACTTACAAAATGAAATTTCAGTAATATTTTCATTAGCCTTTATAGAAGCGGTATAATTTGCACATGGTCTTAAACCAGTCATCTCATATAAAAATATCTCTTCTTCGTCATCTCCTTCAGTTGTCCGAGTGTTTTCTTCTATCCCTTCATCAGGATTAACCCTAGCAACTACTTCATACTTACATGACTGATTACTGTGTATCTAATGAATAATCTACAATAATATAATCAACAAAATAATACTAATCATACTGAGACATTAAGATTAACAATAAATGTCTGGCTTGATTTGTTAAAAACTTTTGTAACACTTTCAAAAATGATAGCATGACCTAATAAGAATTAATAAACATTTAGCAAGAATTAACAAAATAATGATTTATTTTATTTTATATACTTACTTCCAATAATGTTAAAATTGCATTTTTCCCCCTTCGATACGTATTGTGCAATAAATGCAGTAACACTGACAGTGAAATTAGCACAAGATAGTTCAGTATTATTCAACCATACACTAGTACTAGTAGTATTAGTAATACTGACTCCATTTACAAGTACATTATAAACAGTATCTGTAATAGCATAACCTCCTGGGAATAAGTCACCAGAATAGAAAGAAGGAGGAGACCATGACAATAACTGATCATCATTGGACCATTGTATGTCTTGAACTGATGATATTCCTATTATATGATTTATAAAAATGCTAATTTAGTACTGAGGCTTGTATACTTACCTCTTATTGTTAGATTACTAGCGTTGGAGAACACTTGCTCAAAATGAGTTAAATTTGAAAAAAATAGGTGACATCCAATTTTTAATCCATCATTAGCAGGTAGCCCAGTGATAGTAAGTACTGATGATAATACATCAGCTTCATAACTAGTTGTAACTGATATATCTCTTTGTTGTTCAATAGACTCTGTCAGTGGAGCACTATCTATGATCCAGTTTAATCCATTGCCAGTTCCTTCACAAGTAAAATTTGCCGTGTCATAAATAGGAATAGTAACAGAGGTAGGGCCAAATGATATACTTGTATCTATATAGAACGAGATATAGAATATATTATGTATGTATAAATTAAGTTACTGGGAAGACGATTGCCCCAGCCTGCACTAGTCTCAGATACATAATTCCTACAGCGCTGCTGTAGCGAACCAGTATCTCTGAGCAAACATAATGGCTACGTCTGTTTAGCCCGAGGTTTAGCCATAGAATATGGTTTAGCCCCTCTCGCGAGCCCTCTTGAGTGCTGGGGTCAGCCATCTTTGTATACACAAGCGTGGGCGAAGAAGTAAACCGTGAGAAAAATTGATGCTGTAATAACACTTACCACATGCACTGGCAGCACAGTATCCTTCTGGAATCACAGTAGAAAGGAAAAGTATAAAAAAAGCAACCCGAACCTCGACCATCACCTATGTTTCGTTGGTTTACTTTATTATTGAAGTTATGATGCTTATAATCAAAAGCTAATAGTGTTTGACGTCACAATACGGTCTATTTCTAATGATTATCATTATGATTACCCCGCTGGAGCAGGGCAAAACTGTGTGAATTTAATCATAGATATTCAATCAATGCATTCATAGACAACAACAGTCTCATAAGCTGGATTAACATTGGTGTTCAATACTGAACCTTGTACTGACTGTATAGGTCTTGTTACTTGTTGAACTATATAGAAATGAGAATAGACAATGATAATGTTAGTACAGCCTTACTTTGTCCATAAGATGGATTACTGACTGTAATC